GAACTATAGGTGAACAATGGATATGTATCTGAACTATAGTTAAAAATAATATAAATTACTTGTAAATAAATTATTTGTAAATAATCAGTTCTACTTAATGGGTTTGTAGCTCTCTTCTGGTATTTTGTACATCATTTGTCTATGTCTAAAGGATCTGGAGCAGCAAAAGTAGACCAGACCAAATTGCTGTATAAATTGGACAGAATAAATGTAGTAGGCTTTCCATACTTTGGATTCTTTGGTGTGGGCCCGTTGTGGTCTGAGCTCTCTTCCTATCCTCATTCCCAGCCATCCCCCATACCCAGCACTAATTCAGCCATTCAACAGGTACTTATTTGGGGTACCCAATGTACTAGCATGCGGTTCCTTGAGTATGTGATGTTGTCTCCCACTTAGCCTTTGCAAAGTGGTTTCCTGATCTAAAATGATATTCCTCTCCTTCCTATACCTTCTAAAAGCCAACTTTTCCATTAAGATACAAGGAGCACCTTCTTGCAGTCACTCTGGAAAACAGTATGGAGGTTCCTCAAAAAACTAAAAATAGAACTACCCTACGACCCAGCAATTGCACTACGAGGCATTTATCCACGGGATACAGGTGTGCTGGTTTGAAGGGACACACACACCCCCCATGTTTATAGCAGCACTATCAACAATAGCCAAAGTATGGAAAGAGCCCAAATGTCCATTGATGGATGAATGGATAAAGAAGATGTGGTATATATATACAATGGAGTATTACTCAGCAATCAAAAAGAATGAAATCTTGCCATTTGCAACTACGTGGATGGAACTGGAGGGTAGTATGCTAAGTGAAATTAGAGAAAGACAAAAATATGACTTCACTCATATGAGAACTTTAAGAGACAAAACAGATGAACATAAGGGAAGGGAAACAAAAATAATATAAAAACAGAGAGAAGGACAAAATAAGAGACTCTTAAATCTGGAGAACAAACTGAGGGTTACTGGAGGGGTTGTGGGAGGGGGGATGGGCTAAATGGGTAAGGGGCATTAAGGAATCTACTCCTGAAATCATTGTTGTACTATATGCTAACTAATTTGGATGTAAATTTTAAAAAATAAAAAATAAAGTTTAAAAAAATATACAAGAAGCACCTTCTTGGGGTAGCCTTCCCTTACCCCTAAAAGTTAAAATCCATTCCTCTATACTCTCATAGTACCCTCTATATTTTTATCAGAGCCATTATATTCTCCTTTATTTTGTGAGCCCCATTACAGCAGGAACTTGGCCTGTTTTACTCACTCGTATGTCACTACAATGCCAGGCTCATTGTGTACATTCAAATGGTCAAAATGTTATTGTCTGTCCTTCCTCAACATACCATATGCTCTTTGGTGGATGGGTCTGTGATTTATTCACCTTTTTTTTTTTCCTTTAGCATTTAGCATTTAGCATTTAGCATTTAGCAGAAGACCTAGCCCATAGAAATTTGTTGAATAAGTTAGCTTTTTCTGCATTATCATTAATCTTTAAAATATACACACTGAGGACTATATAGAAATATCCTCATGATACAGAGAGATGGGGTGCTGAGGATTATTCCTTTTGTGTTTTACTTAAATAGGAAAAGTACATGTGAAAGACCTAAAACTGGAGATTACAAATGCCAAATTACCTAGCTGTGCTCTATGATCTTACCACCCTTAACCCAGATGAACAAAATAGAAATAATTCTTGGAGGAATAATTTTAAAATAACCAGCTAAAAATTTATCAACAGAAGCAACAACAGGTTGGGATTTCTGCTCATTTAGTCAGTTTGTATGGGTAAACATTACCTAAGTCCCTTGATTTGTGGTATGGTGTATTTCTAACAATCAATGGAAACCAAATTATCAATATACAAAAATCAGTTGTATTCCTATACGTTAGCAATGAACAATCTGAAAAGGAAAGAAAGAAAATAACCCCAGGGCACCTAGGTGGCTCAGTCGGTTGGGCATCCGACTTCAGCTCAGGTCATTATCTCATGGTCCATGAGTTAGAGCCCTGTGTCGGGCTCTGAGTGACAGCTCAGAGCCTGGAGTCTGCTTCTGATTCTGTGTCTCCCTCTCTCTCTGCCCCTCCCTCAGTTGTACTCTGTTTCTCTCTCTGTGTCTCTGAAGAATCAATACATGTTAAAAAAAATTTTTTTTTAATTAAAAAAAGGAAAATAAGTCCAGGGGTGCCTGAGTGCATCAGCTGGTTAAGCTCAGGTCATGATCTCGTGGTTTGTGGGTTCAAGTCCCGCATCAGGCTCTGTGCTGACGGCTCAGAGCCTGGAACCTGCTTCTGATTCTGTGTCTCCCTCTCTCTCTGCCCCTCCCCCCTCCCCCCATCTCTCCTCAAAAATAAACATTTAAAAATTATTTTAAAAAAAGAAAACAAGTCCATGTATGGTAGCATCAAAAACAATAAAACATTAAGGATCAGATTACCCAAAGAAGCATAAGACTTTACACTAAAAACTACAAAACATAGTTGAAAGAAAACAAGATCTAAATAAATGGAAAGATAGCCCATGTCCATGGATTGGAAGACATAATACTGTTAAGATGATAGTACTCACCAAATGGAGCTAAAGATTCAATGCAATTCCTATCAAAATTCCAACAGGCTTTTTTTTTTTTTTTTGCAGCAATGCATAAGCTGTTCCAAAATTCATATGGAAACTCAAGGGACCCGCAGATAGCCAAAACAACATTGAAAAATAACAAAGCTGGTGGACTGACACTTCCCAACTTCAGAATTTACTACAAAGCTACAGTAATCAATATAGTGTGGTACTAGCAGAAGGAAAGACATAAGCCAATGGAAAAGAATCAAGGGTCCAAAAACAAATCCAAACATCTGTGATCAATTTTCAACAAAAGTGCCAAGATAATTCAGTAAGGGAGAAACAGTTTTTTTCAACAAATGGTGCTGGGACAACTGTATATCCACATGCAAAAGAATGAAGTTGGATCCCTATCTCACATCATACGACAAAAATTAATTCAAAATGTACCCAAGATATAAATGTAAGAGCTAAAACTATAAAACTCTTAGAGGAAAACATACATGTAAATCTGTATGATCTTGAAGTAGGCAATGGTTTCTTAGCTATGACAACTAAAGCACAAACAACCAAAGGAAAAAATATAAATTGGATTTCATCAAAAGTAAAAACTTTGTAATACAAAGGCAACTATCAAGAAAGTGAAGACAACCCACAAAATGGAAGAAAATATTTGCAAATCATAAATCTGATAAGAGACTTATATCTAGAATATATAAAAAACTCTTACAACTCAACATTGAGGAGACAAATAATTTTAAATGGGCAAAGGTTTGAATAGACATTTCTCCAAAGAAGATATGCAAATGGCCAATAAACACTTGAAAAAATACTCAGTGTCATTAGTCATTAGGGAAATGTGACTTAAAGCCACAGTGAGATACTACTTCACATCTGTTATGATGGCCATAATAATAATAATAAAAAGAGACAAACAATAAATGTTGATGAGCTGGTCCTCATACACTGCTGGTGGGAATGTAAAATGATACAGCTGCTGTCAAAAACTGTTTGACAGTGTCTCCAAAAGTTAAACAGAATTACCATGTGACCTGGCAATTTCACTCTGAGGCAATACCCAAGAGAACTGAAAACATATTCACACAAAAACTTGTACACAGATGTTCATAGCATGGTTATTCATAATAGCCCCAAAGTGGAAATAACCCAAATGTTCATCAGCTCATGAATGGATAAACTGTGGTATATCCATACAATGGATTGCTATTCAGCTGTAAAAAGGAGTGAAATACTGTTACATGCTGCCTGAGTGAATCTTGAAAACATTATCCTAAGAAGGCAAATGCTAAAGGATACGTACTATATGATATTGATATGAAATGTCAAGAATAGGCAATTCCAAAGAGACAGACAGTAGACTGGATAGTTGCCAGGGGATGAGGGAAAGGGGAAATTAGGAATGATTGCTAATAGGGAAAGATTTTCTTTTGTGGGGGTGGGGGGGATGAAAATGTTCTGGAATTAGTATGATTGCACAACATACTAGGTATACTAAAAACTACTGAATTGTGCACATTAAGATGATGAATTTTATGTGAATTATACCTCAATTTGAATTTTTTTAAGTGAAATGTGATCCTAAACTTGGAAAAACATCATAAGCAATTGTGAGCAAAGCAGTAGATCTAGAGCAGTTTTCTATTTATGGAAGGGCAAAATGGCCCTGAAAAATTAGTGCTCTTGCCCTCTCATAAAAACTGGTTGGATGTGGGGGCTCCTGGATGGCTCAGTTGGTTAAGCATCTGGCTCTTCATACCCACCCAGGTCATGATCTCACGGTTGGTAAGATAGAGCCCTTCGTGGGGCTCTGTACTGACAGCGTGGAGCCTGCTTGCGATTCTCTCTCTCCCACTTTCTCTGCCCCTCCCTCATTTGAGCTATCTCAGAACAATAAGTAAACTTTAAAAAAAAAACGGTTGGATATGATTTCTGTGTTCAGATACAGTTTTTGATGCTTGCCGCTTTTGAGCATGTGTACCTTTGGTCAATTGAAAAGCACTTTTTATGTCTGTGAGTTTACAGCTTTATGTGTGTGCCTGGCTCAGAAGCGTATTTCCTTCTAAAAAAAACCTCCTTGGAGCATCTGGATGGCTCAGTAAGTTGGGCATCGTTAGTTGGGCGTTTGCTCTTGATTTTGGCTCAGGTCATGATGTCATGGTTCATGTGCTCAAACCCCCCATCAGACTCCATACTGCTGCTTGGGATTCTCCCTCTTCCTCTTTGTCCCTCCCCCATGTTCTCTTTCTCTCAAAATAAATAGACATTAAAAAAAATAAAAATAAAAAAACCCTCCTTGATTCTCTATTCCTTACACTGCTTTATCTTCTCCATAGTACTTATCATTGGAATGTAAGTTCCCTGACAGGGCTAGAGTTTCAGCTCTGTCCTCAACAATAATAGGTTAGTTAGTAGAAAGCACTAAGCAGGAAAAATGCTTTATTTATAAAATAAATACTATGGAAAATTTCAATCTGTTGTATATAGATGCCCTTTTTGTGATGTTTTCAGAATACAAGTAACTTCCGTTACTGGTTCACCCTTTGGAAGAGGCACAGATCCTTCCCCACATAAGAGCTAAATCCCAGGACGCTGGCCCTGGTTCTAAGGGGTGTTTTGGTTTGCTGTGGCCTGGGCAATTAAACTCACACAATCAATTCCTTATACCTACTTCCCCTTCTCCTGGGAGATAGTAAAATTTGTAATAAACCTTACTGAGAAGACCTCAGTACCATTGAAGGTAACTCTTCCAGGGAAAGTGTACATTAGTATTCTTCCCTTCTGATTTATTTGTTCACAATCCACTAGAATACTTCTGACTGTAGGTTCCATTATTCTTCAAGTCTTGGCCTGTTCTTTGATTACTTGGCTGTGCAGGTCTTGGGTGCTCTGATCTAAAAAGAAACAAAATATTCTGTAACACTGGCAGATACTTGCAAACTGAGGAGAAGGAGCTTCCCTCAAAATGCATATGAAGGAGAGACCACCATGGTAATGTCAGATTTAATTCTAATCTGCTTCTTGTATATAGTAGCCAAGAGCATCAAATGCCAAACAAAGACTAACTTTGCTGTTAATTTGATCACATACTTATACATGTACCCAAAATTAACTTACTGTTTTAGTTTCCTTGAGGGGAAAATTTGAGTTTAAAACATCTTTGTGACTACCAAATGGAAAACATTCTTCTCAGTTTTAAGAAGTTACTTTCTGCCAGATTTCATTAATAACTCACAAATATAATTGTTACTTAATAAATAAGGAACAAATAGGCAAAAAAAAAAAAAAACTGGTGGTTAAAAACCCAGTGAAAACATACTCTTTCATTCATAACTCAAATTGTCATGAAGCACTTCTTACGCCTATAAAACAGACTCAGCCAAGTCTTTAAAATATTTTCTTGGGAGAATAGATTTCACATGAAACTTTTCCAGAGAACACCATTGTTTCGACTGTTGCTAACAAATGTAACTAAAACTCTGATAATTTGTTTAAAAATATTTTAGGACATATGTATAAGATAAGCAACCACATTTGTGCTAAAATGTCCCACTTTGACAGCCAATTCTATGGAAAACCTACTTATAATTCCATCATAAACATATATGATGCTTTAGTTTTCAAAGTGCTTTCACGTATTTGATAAAGTAACAGACTATGTGCCTTATAAAATTAGCAATTTCCCTCCCAATTAGTTTAATTAATTTGAGTTGCATTTGGTAAGATTTTGATTTAAAACACAAGGGAGTGATTCATAAATTGCTTTTTTTTTTTTTAAGACAAGGCTGGTGTTTCAGAAAAATATTATTTAATGCACTCCATTAAGATGTTAACCTGAGTCATTCTGGTCATGTTGTGGTTGTATTTTACAATCGGTGACACCTGGTACTAGCTGGGAAAATGTCCAGTGAAACAGATAGGCTTAGCTCCAGGCTTCAGATGGAACAATTCAGACGCTGCCCAACCCCCAGTTTGATGGGGATTTCAAAAGGAGATCAGCCTCTCAGTATATAAACATGTTACCCTGTTCGCATTCTTCCCATCTAGAAAAATCATGCTAGAGAGTAAAACAAACAAACAAACAAAAAACTTTGACCATTTTAATACATATCATTTATTACATAAGTCAGCCAAATTCATGGACAGTGACATGCCACTGCAGACCACAAACAAAAATGAATAACATCAATTCAGCCTCTCAGGCAGGCCAATAGCTGCCGGTTTGTAATCATGAATGGGAGTCTTTTATCCAGAGGTTTTTCAGTAGAAATATTCGAGGATATTTTAGCAGACAGAAAAACTAAGCAAAATGGTTACGTGTTGTATAAAGATAAATCCTGGCAATTTTGCCTACGGTGTTTGTTTTGGCATACTATTCATGGCTCTTCAATGGTAAAATCGCTTAACTTTATTTTCTTTGGTTTATGTCTTGGCTGTTGGAATCTATCCAAAACTGTTTTTTGTAATTCTCTATTGAATAGCTCCACAATTTCCATCCTATCAAGGATGGCTTCTTTTATATAATCCTGAATTTTAGCAATCATAGGAAAAGGAACTGGTATAAAAACTGGGATGTATATTTTCAACTGGCAAATTCAATACTAACTGAGAGTATTCTTCAGGGTTTAGAGATAGCCGAAGATTGAAGTTAAGCTTTAGTGTTGTTGCCAGAGAAATAAAATATATTCTCTCAACATATTTTTTAAAACTCTTTTCTGGTCTACAGAATGCTTTAAAATAAACCTTTTTACCTAGTGTTCTTATCAGAGCTATTTGAATCCTAGAACATTATGGGAAATGAGGGTTAAGTAAGCCGTAATTGTCCTATAATTTGTTGTTGATAATTGGGGGGGAGGGTCTAAAAAGTGGTTCTTTTAAAAGACTTTCGGATCAAATAAATTCTAACAATATTTACTACTTTGCATTTAAAAAATGATACTTCCCTTTGTATATACTGTAATAAGCTTGAAAACACATTAATACAGTATACAAATATTGTTTTAAAATACATTTTTCTACTTGAATTACACAAGTATTAACTAATAAATGGAGTTTTAAATTTCCAACAATCATAAGTATGAAACATTTTTTTTTAAGTTTTTTTAAACATTTATTTATTTTTGAGAGACAGATACAGACAGAGCATGAGCAGGGGAGGAACAGAGAGAGAGGGAGACACAGAATCCAAAGCAGGCTCCAGGCTCTGAGCTGTCAGCACAGAGCCTGGCGGGACTCAGACTCATGAACTGCGAGATCATGAGCTGAGCCGAAATTGAGTCGGACCCTTAACTGACTGAGCCACCCAGGCACCCCTGAAACATTTTAAAAAATGTTTATTTTCTTACTCTTCTGTTGTGAATGAACTTGTTCCTTGGGCATATAAGGATCTTGCTCAGTATTAACAGCCTGTGAGATTGTTGTATTTTTCTTTTAAAGTACTATAGAGGGGACACCTGGGTGGCTCAGTTAAGTGTCTGACTCTTGATTTTGGCTCAGGTCATGATTTCATGGTTCATGGGATTGAGCCCTGTGACAGGCTCTGCGCTCACAGCGTGGAGCCTGCTTGGGATTCTCTCTCTCCTTCTGCCCCTCTCCTGCTTGCTCTTGCTCTCTCTCAAAATAAATAAACATAAAAAAAATAATAAAGTACTATAGATAAAACTCAGTAGAAGTGTGTATCACAATTTACCAGTAGAACATAATAGCTAAGTCTAAGTCAATACATTTAGACTCAATCATATTACACTGCTAGCATTTCACATAGGGGCTTTTCTCTTGACTCATTATGGAAATTCCTAGGGAAAAAAATATTAAAAGGGACAAAGAACTATGGAAAATATCAAAAGTCAATATTATAACATCAAATTTTTTTTTAAAGTTTATTTTGAAAGAGAAAGCATGTGTGAACAGGGGAGGGGCAGAGAGAGGAGGAGAGAATCCCAAGCAGGTTTCTCACCACCAGCACAGAGCACAGCCTGAGTGGGGCTTGAATTCATGAACCATGAGATCATGACCTGACCTGAAATCAAGAGTCAGATGCTTAACTGACTGAGCCACCCAGACGCCCCAACATCAAGTTTTTCTGAGCTTTCTTTTGATAATTTCTCATGTTCTAATTACCTCCATGTTGGGGTATTGTTGGGGTCAACACAAAGGTCATGATAAAAATCAAACACCATGTATGCACTGCATTCCAAGAGCAAGGAATGCAGGCAGTCCCTCCTGGTGCCAAAGACAAAGGGGTGCATTGTTTGTAGAGTATGTAAAACATTTAAACTTATGAAAAATCAGCTTGCTTTTAATTGTCAGCATTGAGATAAACAATGACAGTGAAAAATATTCCTCCCCGCTGGGCAGATGCCCCTACTGCCCTTTGAAAACACTACTGCCCATATAAGCTCAAAAGTATTACATATCTAATGCACTTGAGATGTTTATTGTGGAAGGATCCATTCCCACATTTCTTTTCAAAAAAAAAAATTGTTTTTATTTATTCATTTTTGAGAGAGACAGACAGAGCACGAACAGGGGAGGGGCAAAGAGAAAGGGAGACAGAATCCCAAACAGGCTCAAGGCTCTGAACTGTCAGCACAGAGCCAGACACAGGGCTCAAACCCATGAACGGTGAGATCATGACCTGAGCTGAAGTCAGATGCTTAACAGACTGAGCCACCCAGGTGCCCACCTTTGTCTTCAATTTTTGAAAATATAAGTGTTGAAGAATGTGTTAGTACTAATGAAGGGAGCCTTTGGCCTGTTATAAATTTAAATGTAAAATATACATAGTTAATATTTTTTAATGTTCCAGTGAAGTTGAGAGAAGAATGGTACACAAGCAGACACTGAACTTTCAGATATTGACGCACCAGTGTTTTAAGAGTCACATGTACCTAAGGGAATAAATGAAAGAGCAAAACGGGTCATTCTTGCATTTGATGCATGAGAATTTAGGTTGACTATAGAATCAAAACTCCCACTAAGGATGTGACTCCCTAGCAATTCATTCTAAGACTTACTATAAGACCTCTATTAACTTCTTTCATATAAGACACCTATTCTTTTTTTAAGTTCTTATTTATTTATTGTGAGAGAGAGAGAGTGCAAGCAGGAGGGGCAGAGAGAGAGGGGAGTGGAGAGAGAGAATCCCAAGCAGGCTCCACACTGAAAGCACAGAGCCCGAAGTGGGACTCAAACTCACAGGCTGGTAAAATAGCTACTCTTAAATAAGCATTTACCACATTGTTGACCTGAACTAATACAAATAAGCCAATGACTAATGGCAATAAAGTCCACACTACTGAAGATCATTTGTATTTTTGCTGACTCTTCGGGCAAAGTCCATAAAGATATGAAGAACAGAGGGACCAAAAATCAAAACAAAAACATCACAACCAAAAAACCCATTATCAAAAGAAAACAAATATTAAAGCACAAAATCACCTTCATTGATATTCTCGCCACCCAGAATTCCCATACTTATACGATTCTCCAACTCTGTTACCTGTAACATCTGATGTTACAGAAGGAACTAGTACTTTACAGAGGCAAATATGTTTCCTTCCAAATGCTCTAAGTGGAGAAAAACCTGTAATGAACAAAAAAAGAAAACCACACACATATTTTATATACACTCTAAAAGGCAAATACAGTGACAAAATTGTTAGACTAAGGAAAGCATATGACTGAGTAAAATTTATTAGTAGCATTTGTTAAAAAATAAGTTTACTTGCCTTGGGGGAAGTGTCATAATTCTTCTTTCCTTTGTGAGGGCACTAAGGTAGAATGACATGGAAGTTCACTTCCAGAACATATTTATTGTTCAGGACATTACTTATAGGTATGTGTTTGTGTAGGTACATGAAATCTATTATAGCATATAAAGGATATATGTTTAACCAAAAGGAAGAAAAATTGTACCTTTCTTATTTAGAAGTCAGTTCACATTTGCATTATCAAATCTAATCACCGTTGGTTTGATATAAATTTTTTTGCTTTGTTAGTGCTTTTAGAAAATACTTATTTGCTTTTAGAAAATACTTTTATGTTTCCACAGGCAAAACAAGTATATGTCAATTTCTTAGGGAAGCAAGATTCCAGAGTTAGAATATATTCTTATATGAATAATTTCTAAATCATTACTTAATTTATAAGGAATTTACAATTAGGACCTTAATTAATAACTATGCATTCATTAATAAATGTATCACTGTTGTGCTTTGTTAAGGCACTGGCCTTTGCCATTATGTGTGTGTGTGTGTGTGTGTGTGTGTGTGTGTATATATATATACATATATATATATATCACACATATATATATATTACACATACTATATATTGAGTATATATCCTACAAACTAAAGGCAAAAAGAAGAAACTAGCTTAAAACCAGAATCTGACTTGAAATAGTCTCTGCTTAAAATATATTTTCCAATTTAGTTTGTAAATTCCTTGTCTAAAGTTGTTTCTCATTGGGCCAATATTGGACATTGTGGTAAGTCCATTCCCAGGTAAGTCCACAGCAGTCTATTTAACCTACATTTTTTTTAATGTTTGTTTTTGAGAGAGAGAGCAAATGAGGGAGGGCAGACAGAGGGGACGCCAGAGGATCTGAAGCAGGCTCTGCACATTCAGAACAGAGCCTGATACGAGGCTTGAACTCACAAGCCATGAGACATGATCTGAGCCAAAATCAGATGCTTAACCAACTGAGCCACCCAAACACTCCTATTTAATCTACAATTTAAATGAATTTCAGTACCATGCTTAAGAGATACACAAACTATTCACTGATTTAGAAGTTTGTTTTGTTTTGTTTTTCTTCTCCTCTAGGAACTGGTTTTTAGCAATGAGAACAAGGAACCCTACTCCCCAGGGCCTAGAAACCAGAAAAACAAAACCATAAGTGTTTGAGCACAAAGGGACAGTTTGGGTCTTAGGTAAGAATGGGTAGGGTCAATAACAACAGAGGAAAGGACAAAAGAAAAATATTAGTAGCAGCATCACATAAGAAAAACTGGAGTCAGCAAGGAAGTGGGTGACTCTAATTGAGTAGACATCCATAAGTCAGGGTGGTTTTACTACTGCCCCACCCAAACAGTAATTAGTTTAAGAAAAAATTTTATTTTACAAGTGAAAATGTGGAAAAGTAACACAAATGACAACAGCAGCAACAAAAAGTAACAAAATACCTCTGGTCATTATAATGGGATGTTTTCGTGATTAAAAAGTATGATGAAAAAGTACAAACCGTTTGTTGGGCCAATCAGTGTTCAGTTCTTAATTCCAAACTGAAGTTTAGATTATATAGTAAGATTTAGACTAAAAAAAATCATGAAGAAAAGTTTTCATTTACATATTTACAGTCCCAATGCAGTCTGGCCTGCCTGTGTGCATGACCTGACCTAGCAGGCCGTAGAAAAAAATCTCCCAGTAAGCCCAACGGATCATTAGCTATTGAGCCTCTGGTTAGACGTCAAGTTTATAGTCATACTCCCTGTGTCCAGGTATCTTTTCCTTGAAATGCTGTAATGCTTTATTGTTATTCTATTATTGCTTCCCTGTGGCAAGGAACTGCATCCTTTCCCCCAAATCTAGTAGCCTAATGAGATCTATGTTGAATAGACAGGGTGGGAGAGAGACGAAGACTTACATTCCATAATATTAGCAAACCAACAATATGACATTCTGAAAACAATCTCAGAAAAAGCAGAGAACCATGTTTAAAAAGTCAAGACTGATCACCTAACCTCTGTGGACACTGAGGACCATAAATTAACTTTAACCATAAACCTAATCAATTACCTTCATCCACAGACTGCATTTTGGCACAGATTTTCAGCTATGCCAAAACATATGCAGCAGGAGACTCCCCTGCTCATACAAGCAATATTTAACTGCATCTCTCCAAAATAACAAACACATATTTATATTTGAGAATGATAATAATATGAACTTGTAAGATATAATTAATGTATTAAAACATACTTTTATATTATATGGCAATATACATTTGATGGATATTTTAGTTTATAATCCTACTTTTATGTTTTGTTCTTTATATATGCCTGGAGAGAAATTTTAAGCAAAGTTATAAGGGGAAATATTTAAATATTCCATTATTTGATACTATGGGAAAACGTGTTCATTTCGTTATTATGGAAATATCTGCAAGTCATTAAAACTCCCCAAATATACCACAGAAGATACACACGTCTATAGTATATAAAATGATTCCTTCCTTCCCTTCTTCCTTTATCCTGAGGGAAGAACTAGTGAGCATAAGCTTTAATTTCTAACAGGTTAGAAAAAGGAATCTTACACCTCTACTAAATTGAAAATTGTATTATCAAATGTCTGTTTTAAAGTCACTCGGCTTCCTAGCTACTTCAATGGAATCAGGAGTCATAGATCCAACCCCAACTCCAAGACTGGAACGCCGTAGTGATAGTTCCAAGGCAGAAATCTGACGTAACTCTTTACGACATAACTTTACAGATGTGACACCATGAAGCTGTCCTGCGTTTCCCACTGGCTGGATTTGAGGTGATGGTCGACTGTGAGATTTTATGAAATGATACTCGTCTATTTCTTTTTTATCCTCATTGTTTAGCAAATGCCCACTAGTGGGTGCTAAAGAGCTACAGATTGGAGGTAATTCCGGGGCCTCTTCCAAGAGCTTCTGAGGATTCAGTTGTGTTCTTAAGCTGCTTGTTGAACTGTCTAATTCTCTTTCTCTTCCACTTAACTTTATACTTTCAGTTCTGGATGCCCATTTTAATTCTTCTGGAACCATGACTGCTTCTTCAGGGTTCAGGACTCCATCTCCAGCATCATGATCTTAAAAATAACCCAAAAAGCAAAAAAAAAAAAAAAATTAGAGATTTCCTCAAAAACAGGAATTTTAATGATATCCTATTATTATCACTCAATATAAATGATGTCTTTCAGATTAAAAAACAATTTTTTTAAATCTTTATTTATTTTTGAGAGAGAGACAGAGTGTGAGCAGGAGGAGCAGAAAGAGAGGGAGACACAGAATCCAAAGCAGGCTCCAGGCTCTGAGCTGTCAGCACAGAGCCCGACACGGGGCTCAAACTCGTCAAACTGAGAGATCATGACCTGAGCCGAAGTCAGATGCTCAGCCGACTGGGCCACCCAGGCGCCCTTTAAGTGACTTCTTTAGACAAACAGAGTGTGAATACAAATTATTATTTCACTTATAGACATTTTGAATGTGAATAGCTGAGAACTTTTAATTCATGGAACAAAATTGAGAAACAGTCACCTACTGATTTTGTTTCTCCTTGGAAACACAGGAGTACTTTGGGCCTCTCTGGTGCCCTTCCATGCCTGCCCTCCACTGGGCTTGCCACTGTGAACCACAGTCCAAACCTTGGCTAAGTGAAGCCAGCATTGGAGAATACTGGCTCTATGTCTGGGGAATCTTTGGGGACATGGCATCATGTGTGTGAAAATCTAATCTTGGTTAGAAGTCCCAGCATGATGGCAGGGTTATGCTCTCTCAGGGTATTCTGGGGATCCACCATCAAAATGGAGGTGACAGTGTATCTCCTCAGTGGGGATACCCTGATGGAATGACTGACAGGAGTGAGTGAAGAGATCAAAGCTAGAGGTCTTCAAATCAAAGAACTATCTAATATCAAAGATAAAAATTTACTTAAAAGAAGTCCATATAGGCCCTAGACCTAATATGATGAAAAATGCCAACTCTAACATACACTGGCATGTGATTAGTACTTTTTGTCCTATGAATACCAAGTTTAAAAACAGCAGTTGCACACTGGCAGCTTCCAAGCCAAATCTGGCCCACAGACGTGCTTTATTTAGCCTATGAAACAACATGTGACCCCAACATTTTATTTTTATTTTATTTTTCCTTACTGTGTGTATTTTATTTATTTTTGTTTTGTTTCTTGGGGGGGGGGTTGGTTTTTGTTTTGATAATTATTTTTTCTTTTTAACCCCAACATTTTCAATTGGAAAGTTACATATAAAAATATAGATTTCTGGGGCACCTGGGTAGCTTAGTCGGTTGAGCATCTGACTCTTGATTTTGACTCAGGTCATGATCTCATGGGCATGATCCTGCGTCAGGTTCTGCACTGTGTGTGGAGCCTGCTTAGGAGTCTCTCTCTCCCCCTCTCTCCCTGCCCTTCCCCCGTGTGCTTTCTCTCTCTCAAAATAAATAAATAAACTTAAATAAAGAGACTACTATCAAAAACCAATGAACTGAATACCAAGCCAGCTATGTATTACGGAAACTGAGTACTAAATGTATAATACTTTTTAGGGAATTCAGAATTTGATATATTTAAATTGCTGTATTTATAATTCAAACAAACCTTGTTTAATGTGATTATATTAGAGCAGCATTTTGAGATAGGATATATACAGTACAAGCTATATCTCAAATAGGATTCCAACTGTAACTTTTTTGACATTTGTATGGGGACAATATTGAAAAGAATTATGCTGTTAATGGTTGTGGGTAGAATTATGGGTGATTTTTTTTGGCTTTGTCTCTATATTTTCAAATTTTTCTACAATAACTATATTACTTTTTAGAGCCAAAAAAATAAAAGTATTTACGATGTTTCTAGGGGCGCCTGGGTGGGTCAGTCGGCTGAACGTCTGACTTCAGCTCAGGTCATGATCTCATGGTTTGTGGGTTCGAGCCCCACATCGGGCTCTGTGCTGATAGCTCAGAACCTAGAGCCTGTTTCAGATTCTGTGTCTCCCTCTCTCTCTGCCCCTCCCCCACTCACGCACTGTCTCCCTCTGTCTCAAAAATAAATAAACATTAAAAAAAATTTTTTTAAAAGGTGTTTCTAGGTGGGACAGCAGGTTAGCTGAACTAATATCTTCAACATTACTATCAAGACTAGCCTTTTCAGGGCATCTGGGTGGCTCAGTCTATGGAGCATGTGACTCTTGATCTCAGGGTCGTTTCAGGCCCACATTGGGAGTAGAATTTACTTAAAAATGGATAAACAAAAAAGACTAGACTTCCCAAGTAAGTTGGTCAGACAGGTGTCATCACTTTATATATTTTCAAGATTATTTAACTTTTTCAAAGTTTTTTGCATTTGTCTCATTGAAGAGCAGGACGAGGATCCAGGACAAGGATTAAAGCTCTATACCACCATACCACACTGGCATTTTAAGAGATGTCTAGTTGACTCAGTAATATAAACATGGGACATTGAAACACTAAATACCTAATTTCAGATATCTCGAGTTCGAAAGTGGATTTTTTTAAAGCTAAAATGGCCTTATGCTGATTGTTCTGTTTGCTACTTAATACCTGTTTCCATTTCAAATTTTTATAAGTCATGTTTCAAGTACAAGGTTCAGCTATATAGTGCAGGCAGTATTTCAAGTAAATGTTTTAATTATATCAGTACCTCTCCATTACTACCTTGAAAATAAAAAAAAATGTAGTCTCTCTGGCAGGATCTGCATGTTTGTATCACATTTCTATCTACAACAACTTTTATCCTAGAATATTGAACCAGGGGTCGTAAGACAAAAGACCTTAGACCATGTTCTAATTACTGTTGTGTTTGTAAGTTACTTGACCTAAGTTTCAATTCTCTTCTCTAAAAATGGGATTAGCAGACACTGGCCTACCTTGAGTTTGAGGGTTGAATGAACTACTCATGAAAATGTCCATAAATTATAAATATCATAAATAAAAGGTAGCATTAGAACTACTTGTCTAAGATATTACTGTTTTAAACTTTAAAGCTATGTTAATTCTGCTTACATTATATATTCAGCATGTATCTTTTCATTATGCATATATATAACTTTTCACTGGTCTCTTTACAATCTTGTTGTACCCATCTTTAAGTGGTCTTCTTTATAGGTACAAAATAGGTGTGTGTTCCTAAAAGGTTGTAAAGTCAACTTTGCATAAGCCATACTTGACTTATTAGAATACTTTCTCTAAAGGAAGGCTAATTCTTTTACGAAATGTAAAATATATTATTTTAGAAATAGTGATTCTTCTCTCATTGGCAGACTTGAGGAGGGTATATTTTAATCATGGCACTTTCTACTTTTGCAAGATTTTGTATCATGTCATTTAGGAAGGTGCTACTTCTACATAACTACATACAATTAGGCAAGAAAGCATCTTTGTCTCAACAGTGAGTTTTATTATATTTTTGAATTTCAAGAGGTCATGGTGAAAAAGACCTGACTGATCTTAGAAATATACACAATATACCTTTACTTATAGTATTCACTATTTATTTTACATTTTTGTGATAATCACAACACTTAATTTACGATAATATAGGAAACAACAGCTACCTTAGATTATAGGGTTATTTTAAGTAAGGGGATACAAAAGCCCATGGCACATGACAGCCAATAAATATGTGACATTTCCTTCACACATCTACATTTGTTTCTTCGTTCACTTCCCCTGTGATTCTGTGGCATCCACAGATTAGACAATTTAAAATTTTTAATTCAGTATATTAATATACAGTGTTGTATCACAATACAGTGATTCAACAATTCTATATACTGCTATGTTAAGTGTACTCTTAATCCCCTTTACCTATGTTACCCATCCTTCCACCCATCTCCCCTGTGGTAACGACCAGTTTGTTCTCTATAGCTAAGAGTCTGTTTTTCTGGTTTGTCTCTTTTTCAAACATTTGTTTTGTTTCTTAAATTCCACATATGAGTGAGATCATATGGTATTTGTCTTTCTCTGACTTTTTTCACTTAGCATTATACCCTCTAGATCTATCCATGTCCTTGCAAATGGCAAGATTCCATTCCGTTCTTTTTTATGGAATATTTTATGAATATTCCATGGCATATATGTATGTATATATTTATATATATATGTACTGGACACTTGATATATATGTACTGGACACTTGGGTTGATTCCATAATTTGGCTAGTGTAAATAATTCTGCAAAAAACATGACGGTGCACATATCTTTTTGAATTAGTATTTTCAAACTTTTGGGTAAATACCCAGTAGTAGAATTACTCAATCATATAGTAATTCTGTTTTTAATGTGAGGAAACTCCCTACTATTGAGGAAGTCCACAGTGGCTGCACCAGTTTGCATTCCCACCAGCAATGCATGAGGGTTCCTTCCCCGCATCCTCGCCAATACTTGCTGTTCCTTGTGTTGTTGATTTGAACATTACATATAGTTCCTGACAGGTGTGAGGTGGTATCACCTTGTGGTTTTGATTTGCATTTTCCTGATGATCAGGACTAGACGACTATTTTTGTTTACCGAGACCAATACAAGTTAAATATCGAATTCTAAATAACCACATCAATTGGAAAAGGCTAAACTCCAAGTCAGTCACCAAATACTAGATACACCAAATACTGTCAGCGTGACAAGTAACACTAAAGGTCTTACGTTCAGATGGTACTTGTTGCCGCCGAACTGTTTCCCCTACCAATTCCTTAAGTTTCTTCTTAAGATCTCTGCTAGTTTTCTTATAGAAATAAAGGTCTTTTTCCAGCTGCTGGATTTTATCTTCATATGTTTTGAAAGTTTCCATAATGCCTTCCCCCTCTTGCTCTATGAAATAGAAATTTACACTTCAAATCAGTTTAAAATAAATGGCTGAAAATTATGTTCTAACATAGTTTCCAGACTATACTTAATGAGTCAGAAGTATGTTACCTGTATCTGGTACCTGAAAGGATTTGTTTTCAGCTACAACTTGGATTCTTCTAGCCTTAGTCACCTTCTCCACCCTACCCCCTATCAATTACCACATTTTCACAATTCATTACTGCTTTTTGAGTAGCACTCACTAGATTTATCCTTAGAACAGCATAAATAAGGTGTTTTCCATTAAAAGTTCATGTTTGGAACCTGTCCATCAGTTGCATCACTTAAAGTTCCTATCAGGAACTGTGGATGTATGGAAAGTCATGGGCTCAAGAAATCTACAGCCAAGCCTCTACCTCTAAAAAAAAAAACTCCAAAAACCTGTCAAAAGAGGCTACAGAAAGATTAAATAACAAAAGCAAATACCCATACAAAAAGACAGGAAAATAGCATAAGTTGTAGTTTATGCTACAATATAACTTAAAGCTTCTAATTAATATTTATGAATGTCTAATAAACTGTCCCTATTGGGTATGTTTTAGAATCAGTAAAACCTAGTTATTGACCCTCTGAAAATAAATACTTTCCGACCTACTTTTTCCTATTGGTAAATTTACAAAATGGTCCTACTGTTTGTAATGATCCTTTGTTGTAACTGGCTGTTTTGAAAAATGTGATCTAAGTATATTGGATATTTTAAATTAACTCATTATCTTGTATTTAAAAGTACTTTAGGGGCACCTGGGTGGCTCAATTGGTTAAGCATCTGACTCTTCAGTTCAGGTCATGATTTCACAGTTCATGGTATCGAGCCCCGTGTCAGGCTCTGATTCTCTTTCCCTCTCTCTGCTCCTAGCCTGCTCACTCGTGTGCTCTCTCTCTCTCTCTCTCCCTCGCTCTCTCTCTCAAAAATAAATAAATAAACTTTTAAAAATACTTTAAATTAGGGGTTCCTGGCTAGCTCAGTGTAGTGTGCAACTCTTGATTTCGGGGTTGTGAGTTTAAGCCCCATATTCAATATAGAGATTAGTTAAAAAAAAAATCTTTAAAAAAAATCTTTAGGGGCGCCTGGGTGGCTCAATCGGTTAAGCGTCCGACTTCGGCTCAGGTCACGTTCTCGCGGTCCGTGAGTTCGAGCCCCGCGTCGGGCTCTGGGCTGATGGCTCAGAGCCTGGAGCCTGCTTCCGATTCTGTGTCTCCCTCTCTCTCTGCCCCTCCCCCGTTCATGCTCTGTCTCTCTCTGTCTCAAAAATAAATAAGCGTTAAAAAAAAAAATTTTTTTTTTAAATCTTTAAAAAATACTTGAAATTAGGGGCGCCTGGGTGGCTCAGTCGGTTAAGTGGCCGACTTCGGCTCAGGTCATGATCTCGCAGTCCGTAAGTTCGAGCCCTGTGTCGGGCTCTGTGCTGACAGCTCAGAGCCTAGAGCCTGTTTCAGGTCTGTGTCTCCCTCTCTCTGACCCTCCCCTGTTCATGCTCTGTCTGTCCCTGTCTCAAAAAAAAAAAAAAAAAGTTAAAAAAAAATACTTGAAATTAATAACACCATAAATCAGGATCCTCATAAAGAATATATCTGGGCATCTGGGTGGCTCAGCCAGTTAAGCGTCAAACTCCTGATTTTGGCTCAGGTCATGATCTCACAGTTCATAAGATTGAGCCCCGCATTGGGCTCTGTGCTGACAGCGTGGAGCCTACTTGGGATTCTGTCGCTCCCTCTCTCTCTGGCCCCTCCCCTGTCTGTGTGTGCATGTGTTCTCTCTCTCTCTCTCTCTCTCTCTCTCTGTCAGAATAATTATTTAAAAATATTATATATGTCAACTTAATTTTATATACCATATTTAGTTGAAATTAGAAAATTCATAAATTATTAACATTTTGTTATGAAAAACTTATCCCAGCTATAGAAATGAATGATTTTTAAAATGTTCTTATTTGGCTATAGCGTGAGCTTTTGTGGTACAATGCATGTCACTTGAAAAATACATTAAAAATTCTAATAAGGGGTGCTTGGATGGCTCAGTCAGTTGAGCGTCCAACACTTGATTTTGGCCCAGGTCATGATCCCAGGGTCATGGGATCAAGCCCTGTGTCAGGCTCCATGCTGGGGGCGGAGCCTGCTTAGGATTCTTTCTCCCTCTGCCCCTCTCCTCCACTCTCATGTTCTCTTTCTCTCTCTCTCTCTCTAAAACAAAAACAAAAACAAAACAAAAACCCCACAAATCTATTAAAATATCACTTTATAGAGACTTAAGACAGAACTAAAATAAGGTAAGGAGAGCTGTTTGAATGAAGTGATGTATAGGATCCTGTCAAGGAAATCCTGTCATCAGACAACCGCTTGCTAATTAACTGGCTATAGAATTAACTTAGCGGCACACTGCTTCAACACTCAAATTTATATATTTCCCAATTTTCTGCTTGCTCAGGTTGTTTCTCCATTGTTTAACCCATTTCCAGCTATAGACTCACAAGAATCAAGACTAAGCAGCTAAGCAGCCTGGATTGAAGCATTACTAGCATCGCCAGGCAGCGCTTCTGTTGCCATGGCAACTATGAACTGGCCAAATGCCAGGTAACATGAGGACCAACTCTATGACTGCTCTTTCCACACCAGAGTTGACGGCTGAACTACTGTGCACTGATTAACAGTATGTGTCCACTGATGGTAGACTAATTTTGACCTAAGAAATAATCTTAATGCGTAAAACTTACAACTAACTGAGAATTGTAACAAATATAACTAGAAATCTGACAAAGCCTATCGCTTTAATTTTCTGGAGGGAAAGTAATTTAAATATCAAGTTACTATATCCTTGGGCGACAGAAACTTTTCAACTGTGTACCACAAAGCTAGAAGTCATCCCACATTTGTACACAGAAAACAGACCAACAACAGGGCACCCGGGTGGCTCAGTAGGTTAAGCGTTTGACTCTTGATTCAGCTTAGGTCATGATCTCAGGTTCATGAGATCGAGCCCTGTGTCAGGCTCTGTGCTGGTAGCGTGGAGCCTGCTTGGGATTCTCTCTCCGGTCTCTCTCTGCCCCTCCCCCATTCATGCTTGCTGTCTCTCAAGATAAATAAACTTAAAAAAAAAAAACAGACCAACAACAAACTGAGGGGGGTTCTTGTGTGTAGCACTAGGGACAGGCAGAGGGATGGCATTTCAAGCATGAATAGCCCTACATCACAGTCAACTCTCCCCATGTGTGGTAACCCAACTATCCCCTACATGTGGTAAACATGCAAAGCACAAAAACAAGTACAAGTCGTAACTATTTATTCATGTTTGACTTTTCATGCTGGAGTTTTCATTAATCAAATTCTGTCCTATCTTTCTTTCCTAGCCCCTCTGACACATCATTTTTCCACAACTGACCAGAAGGGGCAGGTACCTTTAAAATGATGTAACAGCAGCTGCAGTTTTTGCTCATGTTCCTTTTGCTGGAGAGTCAGTCTCCGGTCGCACTGCAATTTCAGATGTTCCAATGCAGATTCCAACTCACGAACCATATTATCCCGCTCCAGAATCTTCATTTTAACTTCTTCATTCTCTAAGTGTAGTTTCCGTTCAGTTTCTCGCAAAATGACCACCTAGCAAAGAAATTTTTTGACCTTTTAACTTTGTCTTAAATAGCCTAATATAATAAGCTACTTCTCTCAGGCTACCTAAAGAACTCCCTTAGTCCCCATGGAATAACTAAGCGAATGCTTTATAACATACCCACAAAATAACCCAATAGTCTTGAGTTTGTTGGGATTCTGAACTGGTTACAAGCTTCATTTTAAATATAATGTGGCTCTATCACCCCCTCCATCATCTCTTAGACATGGTCTCTGCAGTTTATATTTACAATCCTATAACTATTTCTCTAGTCTAAGAAGATAACAGGAACCTAAAGACTCTTGTAACATCCAGGTAATTCCCAGTTTTAACTCCAAAATGGATGTTATAAATAAGTAACAGACTTTTCTGAAACCGTAAATACAGAGTTCAGTCTCAGACTGTGCATTTAGTCCAATGGGTTCTTCTCTGCACTGCTGTGAAGTGAAGATACTTCACAGAACTCACTAATGTAATGACCTTCTGTCTAGAAATACTCAGGTTCCCAGGGTCAGAAAACCCACTGACCTTAACCTGGGTGCTTTGGGTTAAGAACCTGTGCTCTAACCCCTGAGTTCTCTGTATCAGAGCCTCAGACAGCACCACACCATTTTTCTGCCCTTCATACATGTGGTGATAAGGATGCACTCTGATCAATGATAGTAGCTTACTACTGACAGTCATTATTCAAGAAGAGGGCTGTGTATAACATTTCCATTAATTTTTCATCTTTATTTCACTTGTCTGATAGAACTAGAATTTTATCTTAAAACTCCAGTGTTTTATTTTTCATTAATTGTCTGATATTCCTTTACACTGAATATACCTTTCAGAGAAGAGTTATCTGTTTAACACTTCATAATATATACCTTAAGAGAAGACATCATTCAGGTTAATGCTAAAATCTACTATTATCTTCATTTCAGTTCACAGGTCTGATGATAATGTACAGGTACAACCCCCCCCCGCCCCCAGCAATGAAGGAAAGGGAACCCAAAGTTGGAGGGCCCTTGATTTTTCATGAATGCTGAGCAGCAACAAGCAAATCTAGAAAATATCCAAGAAATAGTAACTGAGGAATAGAACTTGAATTCTTCGGTTTTTAAAACTATTACAAAAAGCCCTTCTTTCAAAAGGCCCTTCCAACTTTAAGAACCTCCCGAAGTTGGACATGCACAAAACTTTCAGATGATTACACTCAGTACTGGGAATGGGAAATCATACTTCAACGGTATTTATGCCATCAAATTTTTAGGCCTTTCAATTTCTTAAATGTGAGACATATAAGCATCCTGACCCACCCTTCTAGAAGAAAATCCTGTCCCTCAGGAACAAACCTTATTGAAATATCTGAAAAGAATAGCTCTAATCTCAATGGGACTCAGGCAAATTAGTTTTTCCAAGACATTTGCTTCACTACAAGAGAGGTTTTGGAATGAAGCTCTGAGCGAGTTCTGGCGACTCCGGATACTTTCATTCTTGTATTCAATTGCAGCTTCCAAAGCTTCAATCCCTTCTTCAAGTTGGAAAAGAACATGTTCTTCCTAGATATAATAGAAATCACCCATTTTAAATGTAATACTACAACTTGGACTTGGTCATACACTAAGATCTCAACTATGCTATCGGAGTCTAACGAACATTACCATTTGTCTACTAAATTTTAATAACGTTTATCGAGTGCCTGCAATGCTACACAATGTATGTGTATACACACATATATAAAACATAGAATCATTGAATCCTTGCAATAAATTTTGTGTAGTAAAATGGAAGAGGCAAAAGCTAGGTGAGTTATGAAACGTCCCAAGGTCATACGGCAAATGCCAATAACCAGGAAATACACTTGAACAAAGCCTCAGCCTCCAGGACCAGCACTATTGCCAGGTGTCTCCTTCCACAGCTCCTAAAGTGTATATTATGCGTCCGAGAGATCTGGATACTCCCTAGTATCCCTTCAAAGAGCTATCGAAATAACAGACTGCCAGGAGGGAAAGAAGAAATAGATTTAGAATAAATTATTAAGGACTAGTCATCAGAAGAGAATCTCTTAGGGAGAAAAGATTATGGCATAAAAAAAAAGTAGTGAGAATTTAAGGACATGAAACATTTCATAAAATTCCTATGAGATGTCATTACGGGGCAAACAAAGGCATTAAAAATGGTGGTGGTACAACTTTTTTCATATGCTAGAGAAGATTTCCTTCGTAGGAAAAAAGAAAAACCTGATGAATCCCTGTCAGTTCTTTGGACTATCCAAACACATAATATTTGGGAGTGTCCAAATTTCTGGCAAGAAATTATTTTAAACTTGGTGAGACTTGGATAAATATTTCTGTATACCTGTATGTGTGGTGGAGGGTTACCACAACTTTGAGTTCCTTGAAGGCAGACCATCTTGTCCATACTCAAGTCCTTACTGCCTGGCACAGTACCTATCATACAGTTTAAACTCAGTAAGTATCTGCTGAATGAGTTAATGAGGAAAAAGGAGAAAAAAATATTTTCATATGTCTGATTATGTGATCGAAATATTTCTTTCCACTCCTTCCCCCAGCATTTCAAGAGAAAATAAGGTTAATATTTCTGATCTACCTAAAGAATAGACTGACTTTCAGAACTCCTTTTCTGGAATCCAAGGAAAAGGTATGTAATAACTCATTCCAGTGTGAGGTTGAGTAATACTTATTAAAAAAAATTTTATAAAAAATCTCCTGAAAGAGCCATTTTGTTTCTCTGTGCAATCACTAACCATCAAGGATTTGATGATCTGATAATCACTCCATCAGGAAGAAAATAATATTCACCTTTTTAAGAAAAACAAACTTAAGTCCTGAAAGGTACATTGGTGAACAGATAAGAGGAACCAGAAAATAAAAGTGGACTATCCAAAGAACATATTTAACTTTTGAATGCATACCATGATATTTTCCAAAAACAAATGTGGCAAGAGTTTACCTTTATATATGTCTGAGAACAATTTGGCCCAAATTTAGTTTCTATAGTTTGCATCTAAGTTAGGGAAGTACTGAGATAACATAAGGCAGTATGACTACAGAACCCTGAGGATGGCCCAATCCAGTGAGGCTGCAGTGTATAAATATTCGTGATTCCCTTGAACCCAGCAATAGGTGTGGGTTGGCAAGATGAATGGCAATGGGAAACTGTTCCAGGATGAAAAATGGCCAGGAGGCAAATGACAGATTATCAAGAGTTGACTAATGTTTTATCACAGAGCACTGCTTTTTCACACATGCACCAGGGATCTTGTTAAAATGCAGATTTCTGATTCAGCAGGTCTGGGTGTGGCCCAAGGCTCTGCATTTCTAACAGGCTCCCAGGTGAGGCTGCTGCAGATCCAGAGAGCACACTGAGAGCAACAAGCACCTAAAGCAGGGGGTCTCCAAACAGTTTAGATCACACATCCCTATCAGTGAAAAACCAAAACCAAAACCAAACACACATAAACACTTTTAAGCACTGTATATACTATATTTCTATGCACGTTAGTGATAAAACATGAAATTGAAAGTACAAGTGAAATAAACATAATAGTTCTTATATTTTCTCCTATGCCCCTCTCACTGAGCAACTGCTGTGTATTATTAGAAAAATGGAGTTGAAGTATTTTTTTAAATTTGTTTACGGAATTTACCCACAGAACGAAGTATTTGTCTATATTAAGTTGTTGCAGAATCCTGTACTAGTATAATCTAAAATCTTTCTATCACTTCCCATTATGAAAACGGTTTTAATCTATTGTGGCAAGAGAAAATAATTCTAAGCTAGTTTAAAGACATCGAAACAGCCAACTATTGCACCTAGATTTTACTGATGTCTTGTGTCACATCACAATCTCATGTTCCTGATCACCTGCTATTGGCAGATCTGTTTGGTAATGTTAATCTTGGCGTTAAGACAGTAGTGAGAGCAGAGCCCATTTGAGACTGACACTAAGAAGAACCAACCTTGTGGAAGAAGGCTGCACGGAAGCTCCCATGGCTGACGGAACCCCACGAATTGCAGGAGGCTCAGCATTCCCTCAAACCAATCCACACTGGCTGCGACACAGGTATTATGCATGGTGCTGTGTTTTCCCCACAAAACCCTAAATAATGTTTTTTAGTTATAGAATTCTATATGAAATAGAAATGTAAATGTTTCTTGATAGTGACAATGGAACTTCTACCCTTTCTGCAAAAATAATTTACTCGTTCCCTTCTTCATGCCTTATTTATGGTATTCTATCTACAACGGCCTTCTTTCTTGTATCTACCAGTATTGTGGTTTTCATAATTCAGCTCAAGTTTCTTTAAATTTTTTTTTTTTTAACATTTATTTATTTTTGAGAGAGCGAGACAGAGCCTGAGCTGGGGAGGAGCAGAGAGAGAGAGCTGGGAGGAGCACAGAATCCGAAGCAGGCTCCAGACTCTGAGCTGTCAGCACAGAGCCTGATGCGGGGCTCAAACTCATGGACCGTGAGATCATGACCTGAGCTGAAGTTGGACACCCAACTGACTGAGCCACCCAGGCGCCCCTCAGCTCAAGTTTCTAATGCACCAAAGTTGCCTTGATGAATCTTCCCCCCACATGATCACTGCATTGCTTTGTATAAATAATATAATAAGTATAGTTTTATTACATTATTGTAACTTGCTTTTTTTATGTTCTTCAGGGTTTAGAGTTTTCTTATATTTGTCTCTTTTCCCCAGATAGAGTATGAATTTCTCAAAAGAAGCATAATGCTTTTTACTGTTTTGGTTTCTTCTATAGGGTCTGGTAACAGTCTTGGGCAGGCAAGAATTCCTTAAATACTAATATTACATTTTGCAGTATCTTAGGCTCTCATACCTCTTGATCTACAAGGCCAGGCTCCAATTTAACAGCCCCAGGAGGACAGTCTGATTCTGTGATCCTCTCAGCTACTCATGTTATTAAACTGGGCAGTGAAGCTTATAATGCCACATAGCCCCCAATCAAGTTAGTCTTCAATTTCTTTCATCCACACAGTGAACAACAATCTCATTTATGAAATCTTTGCTCTTGTTCCTTCTTACCCAGCCCCCTTAACTTCCATCTCCCATTTGCTCCAATCTAAAACCATACGAGATTCGGCAAGGTGCGTGATCCCCAGCTACTCACTTTCCCTTAACAATCTTCTCTTGCTTTGGTCATGACAGGACAGCAACAATAAATATTTGCATAGAGGGGCATGTGGGGGCCTCAGTTGGTTAAGCGTATTACTCTTGATCTTGGCTCAGGTCATGATATCACAGTTCGTGAGTTTGAGCCCCATGTCCGGCTCTGCGCTGACAATGCAGAGCCTGCTTGGCATTTTCTCTCTCTGTACCCCTCCCCTGCTTGTACTCTCTCTGTCCTCTCAAAATAAATCAATAAACTTACAAAATATCTGTAGAGAACATGTAGGCTCAAAAATTCATACTTGTCTGATAAAGTAAGGGATAAGTACCATTGCCAACTGATGTAAAATTTTGAAAAAAGACACAGTCTGGGACAATTGTGACAGCCAATAAATATACTATCTTTTATAGAGTTTAAAAAAATAAAGGTGAGAGGAGCCATAAGCTCTCCCAAATGAAAACTGCAACTCAAAGGTATTTTTATTGGGATTTGAGTTCTATGCATCTACTTGGGCTGGAATATGCTCCTGCAGGCTGGGCCTTTCTGAAGGAATTAACCCTTAATGTCCTAGTCATTCATGTATGTAACGAATTACCTAGTATCGTTCAAGAAAGTTGCAGAGAGGAGGTAGGTGCTCTCTTTGGAAGAACTGAGAAAAAGAGTTCTTCAGCTCATCTGTGTTCTGTGATGTCAGATGAGAAACCCCAGCTGAGAAAGTCCCTACTCAAGGTAAGTGTTAGTTTCCCATCCGTGAAGATGCCAGTAGGAGGCCATGTTCACGGACCCCTGTGTGAGGATATCACAGTCTCTGGTCAAGCATGGCTTATGGCACCTAATGGGTGCCAGCTCAACTCATTACATCTGACAAAGTCTCAAGAAAACAGAGTTTACCAGATTTATCCATTTTTATGTTTAAGTTAACAAAGACGGAGGAAATCATCCAAGTGACCCATCATAGAGCACTTCCAGTTCTAAAGAATACTGACTTACTTCAGGTGACAACACACTACCATTTTTAAGTTTCTCGTCCACACTGTTTCTTCGTCTCTGTAGCTGATCCTTCTCTTTCTGGAGGGCCTGAACTTGTTCAGAAATCTTTATTTTCTCCTCAGCTGTGCTGTGTTGCAGCTCTACATTCTTTTCAGACAACTCTTGGTCCAACAAGTTCAGGCGAGTTGATATTTTCAAACTATCTGTGTTTAAGACCTAAAAAGACACAATCAACCAAACACCCCAAAAACAGTTATTAGAAACCCAAACTGCATATAAATTAGGAAAAACAGAAAAAAGTTACTAACTGAATATATTTTGAGCTTCCACATTATTGTTTTCTCTTATGGAGTTTTTTGGGCTGGGGGGTTCATTTTTTAAAATCTTAAGTCGAATGCCTTTTTTTTTTTTTTTTTTTTTTTGAAGATTCTAATGATGAATTTATTGCTAAGTATTGATTAGTTATACCAGACTACAGAGTATTGGTTTTAAGAGGTAACATTTTTTGGGGGGCGCCTGGGTGGCTCAGTCGGTTAAGCGTCTGACTTCGGCTCAGGTCATGATATCACGGTCCGTGAGTTCGAGCCCTGTTTCGGGCTTTGTGCTGACAGCTCAGAGCCTGGAGCCTGTTTCAGATTCTGTGTCTCCCTCTCTCTATGACCCTCCCCCGTTCATGCTCTGTCTCTCTGTCTCAAAAATAAATAAACATTAAAAAAAATTATTTTTAAAAAGAGGTAATATTCTTTTTTATTATTTTTTAAATTAAACTTTTCTTCCTTGGCCTGTTACACAGTTATATGATCTGTAACTATAAGTTCTCTATAGGTTGAGATTTGGTTTGTTGTTTAAACATATAATTTGTTTCTGCTCTTATTTCATTCTGGTCAGAAAATATGGCCAATTAGAGTAATGGAGATCTTCATTATGGCCTAACTTAAAAGAATTTTTTTTTAAGAAAATTTTTAAGGTGCACCTGAGTGGCTCATTCGGTTAAGTATCCAGCTCTTGATTTTGGCTCAGGTCAAGATCTCACAGTGAGTGTGAGCCTTGCGTCAGGCTCTACGCTGGTAGTGTGGAGCCTGCTTGGGATTCTCTCTCTCTTCCTCTCTCTCACAACTTCCTGGCTCATGTTCTGTCTCTCTCAAAATAAACAAACATTAAAAAAAGAAAATTCTTAAAATGGATTTTCATCTAAGTAGTTACATGTATATATACCACAGGTTTAAAAGTTTTTAAAAAAGCAGTCTCCCTACCCCACCCTCTTACCTGAGTCCCACTCTCCAGAAACAACTATCTTCAACCTTTCTAGCTATTTCTGCTTGTGTTAATGTCCATGTTTCTAAATAACATAACCAATTTCAAATAGTGCCCACAGATGGACTATTATGGAAGACGAGCACTTGGCACTATTATGCCTCCTCTACTTCCCCTCCCTCTAGTTTCCCAGTATAAGGTGTAATACAGTTTTATGTTAAATCAATATTCAGTTCACATAGCTTTGTGAGTATTATTCACAGCTCAAATGTCTCGTATAAAATTATCATTTTCCATAGGGTATGACTGCTGGTATGTTCTACTAATTCTTCTCCAATACAATTCTACAGTTCCTCTCAATACTGTTTTTTTTTCACTTGACCAAAACTTAAATCAGGTCATCTTTTTGTTCTATTCTTTTTCTGGAAACATTTTGCCTGAAATCTCCATCCTCCTGCTCCAAACTGGACTGGTTATTCTGGAACTTCCTTTTAGTATTATCCCTGGAATTTCCATGTTGGATCACACTTTCAGTACCCCAAGTCTTCCTTTTTCATAGCTGATGCCCTCATTTTTGTGGAGCATATCCTCTAGTAGTTTCCTGAGAGATGAGGTCAGAGATCATTCTTTTCACTTGAAAATGCCCTTATTCTGCCTTCATATTTGATTCAGAGTTAGGCTCAAAAGAAGTCTTGATTGGAAATAATTTTCCTTGTGAGTTGGAAGACTGCTGCAGGTCTTTTAGTGTCTACTGAAGAAGGTTGAGAAGTCCAATATCATTCTGATTGTTGAGATTTACAAGTGACTCATGTCTTCTATCTGGTAGTTTTCAGGATCTTTTTTTTTTTTTTTTCCTCAGTATACTTAAAACTTCACAGTGATAAGCTTTTGGCACTCATTTTGCAGGCCCTTGATGACCAATTTCCATCTAGAGTCTCATATCTTCAGTGCTGGGAAAATTTTTTGTATTGTCTTTGATAGTCCCCTCTTCTGTTTTCTCTGTTACAGCTTTCTGAAATTCCATTTCTTGGACGTTGGACTTCTGGATTTATCTGCCAATTAAATTTTTTTCTCATTTTCTATTAATTTATTCTTTTATTTACTTTCTGGGATATTTTCTCAATGTTATCCTCCAATGCTTTAAATTTCCAACAGTTCTCAGGGTGCCTGGGTGGCTCAGTCAGTTGAGCATCTGACTCTTGATTTCGGCTCAGGTCATGATTCCAAGGTCATGGGATTGAGCCCTGTGTTGGGCTCCGTGATGAGCGTGGAGCCTGCTTAAGATTCTCTCTATCTCCCCCTCTGTCCCTCTCTCCCTCTCGCATGCTCTCTCTCTAGAATATAAAACGTATGTTGAAAAAATTAAAAATAAAATGTTTAAATTTCTAGCAGTTCTCATTTTATGGATAGACTATATAATATTTCAACACCTTGAGAATATTAAAGGTTTTTTGAAAGTTTTTTTCAGCTCCTTCCTCTATTTCTGATGTCTCTGAGCTTCTTTTTTTCTTTTGGACTCTGACTTTCATGTTAGTAGCATTCCTGACATGGATGTCACATTTAAGAGTTAGGTATGAAAATGCTGATAAGTTCTGTAGTAGGTATACTTTGTCACCATGGGATGTATCTAGGGTCTGGCCACTTAGTTGGGGGCCCCCAAGGGTGTTTTTAGGTCTTTCTTCATGGACTGTTTCAGAAAATCCAACAATGTCTTGTTTGGAAGTATAAATCTGGCTGTCAGCATTTTGGGATCCAAGTAGGTGTTAGGAAATGGCTATCTCAGGATTCCTACGTAGACTGACTTTTATTCATTACCTCTTTTGAGTATTCTGACTTACCGTGACCATCTGCTGTACCTGGTTCAAACTTCAGAAAATAAACCGTCTGGTCTTCAAAGTGAGAAAAGGGTGGTTTCCTGATGATGTCGTTTCCATCCTATGCCTCACTTCTGCCTTCTGAAAATCTTAGTCCCTTCATTTCAGAGTCTTTTTGTATTCTATGTGAATTCTATCTCATAAAGGTATCATTACTAAAAAAAAAATGTTTTTTTACATTTATTTATTTTTGAGAGACAGAGCACAAGTGGGGGAGGGGCAGAGAGAGAAGGAGACACAGAATCCGAAGCAGGCTCCAGGCTCTGAGCTATCACACAGAGCCTGACGCGGGGTTTGAACCCACAAACCATGAGATCATGACCTGAGCCGAAGTCGGATGCTCAACCAACTGAGCCACCCAGGCACTCCTCTCATAAAGGTATTATTAAAAAACAAACAAACAAACAAACAAAATACTAGGGGTGCCTGGGTGACTTAGTTGGTTAAGGGTCTGACTTTGGCTCGCGGTCTGTGAGTTTGAGCCCCCACTGGGCTCTGTGCTGACAGCTCAGAGCCTGGTACCTGCTTTGGATTCTGTGTCTCCCTCTCTCTCTGCCCCTATCCCGCTCATGCTCTATCTCTCAAAAAAAAACAAAAAAAAAACAAAAAAAAAACAACTCATGCTACAGCTCTCATTCATGTCCCTCTTAAGCTCTCAAGGCATTTGGATTCCAGCCTCTTCTGCTAAGTAACTACTTACCTATACCTTCCCATCTTACATTTTTTGGTAATCTTTAGTCTTCTGTATCTTTTTTTTTTTTTCCTTTATGGGCTTATAGCTTTTTTTTGAGTAATAGCTTTATTGCGATCTAATTCACATACCGAACAATTCACCTAATTATTTATTTTTAAAGATTTTATTTTAAGTAATCTCTATACCCAATATGGGTCTTGAACTCCCAATCCTGAGACCAAGAGTTGCACACTCCACAGACTGAGCCAGCCAGGCGCCCCTAAGTCCCCGATTTAAGTGTATAATTCAATGGCTTTTAGTACTCTCACAGAGTTGTGCACCCATCACCACAATGAATTTTAGAACGTTTTCATTGTCCTCAAAAATAAAACCCCATGCCCCCTAGCAGTCATTCCACTCCCTATTCCCCACTCAGCCCTAAGCAACCATTATTCTACTTTTTGTCTCTACAGACTTGCCTCATCTGCACATTGATATAAATTACATGTACATACAACATGGGTCTTTCGTGACTGGTTTCTTTCCCTTAACACAATGTTTTTGGGGTTCATCCACGTGGTAGCATGTATCAGAACTTCATTCTTTTCTATAGCTGAGTAACATACCCTAGTACGGATATACCACTTTCTGTTTATCCCATTCATCGGCTAATGGGACATTTGAATTTTTTTCATTTGAGGCTATTGTGAATAATGCTGTTATGCACATTCATGTACAAGCTTTTGTGTAGACATGTGCTTTCACTTCTCTTGGATATATACCTAGGAGTGGAGTGGCTGGGTGACATAGTAATGCTATGATTAACCTTTTGAAGAACTGTAAGATAGTTATCCAAGGCAACTGTACCATTTTACAATCCCACAAGCAGTGCATTAAAATTCCAATTTCTTCATATTGTCGCCAACACTTAGTATCTATTTTTCTGACTACAGCAATCCCAGTAAGTGTGAAGGAGTATCTCATCTATGTTTTGATTTGCATACCCCTGATGGCTACTGATGTTTCATACGTTTATTGGCCATTTGTATATCTTCTTTGAGAAATGTCTACTAGATCCTTCACCCATTTTTAATTGAATTGTCTTTTTATTACTGAGTTAAGACTTCTTTATATATTCTAGAGACAAGTCCTTTATCAAGTAGATGATTTGCAAACATTTCTCCCCATTCTGTGGGTTGTCTTTTCAACACCAACTTTCTTGATGGTGTCCTTTGCATAACAAATGTTTTTAATTTTGATGAAGTCCAATTTATCTAATGTTTCTTTTATTGCTTTTGCTTCAGGTATAGCAAAGAAACTATTGCTTAACCCAAGATCACAAAGATTTACACCTTTGTTTTTTTCTAAGGGTTTTATAGTTTTACCTCTTACATTTAGGTCTGCGACTTACTTTGAGTTGAAATCGTATATGGTATGAAAATAGGTTTTGTTTTTGTTTTTTTTTATTTTTTTTTTTCAATGTTTATTTATTTTTGGGACAGAGAGAGACAGAGCATGAACGGGGGAGGGGCAGAGAGAGAGGGAGACACAGAATCGGAAACAGGCTCCAGGCTCTGAGCCATCAGCCCAGAGCCTGACGCGGGGCTCGAACTCACAGACCTTGAGATCGTGACCTGGCTGAAGTCGGACGCTTAACCGACTGCGCCACCCAGGCGCCCCGAAAATAGGTTTTTTTATATCACATTCCATGTCCAAAATGCATAGGATTGAACCTTATAAATATTTCTTAAAACACTGGAAAAAAATGTAATCTATTCACACCTTTTGTTCAGAAAAGAACCCAGCAGTATAACATCACCAAGTTTCTCTTCTGTTTCATTAAAACAATCTTCAAAGAATCAATTTTGCTTTGCTCTGCTGTGGGTTTCATTTATTTCTACTCTCTACTTACCTCAGTATGTTCTTGCTTCCTAAATTTTACATCTTGTTCAAAGTAGAAAACTTCAATTTTTCCCCCCTGTATCATGAAGTAAACTTATTTCAGGAGAAAGGGTTTTTTTTTGTTTTGTTTTTTCCTCTTTTTTCTTTTGTGATATGGAACATATAGTAAAGGTCCCAGTTTATTTTCTTCTATTTACACATTGATATTTAAATGTGTTCATCTCTCTTGCTGTCATTTACATGTTTTGAGGGGTAGCTTTTCAAACTCGGCCCCGACAGGGGCACCTGGCTGACTCCACTGGAGGAGGGTGCAACCTGTGATCTCAGGGTAGTGAGTTTGTGTAGAGACTAGTTAAAAATAATAATAAATATAAATATAAATATAAATAATATATAACATATATAAATATAAATATAATATATAAATATAAAAATATAAATATAAGTAATAATAATAATAAACTTAAAAAATTAAAAAATATATAAAAGTAAAATAAAAACAAAAAAGTAAAGTAAAAATAAAAAAAAAGTAAAGTAAAAATAAAACTTGGCCCTTACAGCCAGCATGAGCAAGCTACCTGATACAGCACCAACAACAAGCCTGGTTAGAGAGGCTGCCCCTATCCCTGGGTGCCAATAGCTATTCAACATGAATGGGGAAAGGAGGACAGAGCAGAGGTAAGTTCAGGTTTCCACACTTGTCTGCCTGTTGTGTTGAGGTGGAGAGGCTAAGAACACATGACCATCATCTCAGATCTTACTGGTCTAGATGCAGCCTGAAAGGAAGGTCTACTAAAGAGGCAGGTCATTGATCCTTGCTGTTCAATTACTCAATGTATAGACTGTCCTCGGCCTGATGGGCAGAAAGTCCTCCTCAAGTCTGGGGCAAGCCAGCTTCATTTTCAGATGCTGTTATTGCTATAGTTGAAAATATACATAGCTACATCCAAAAAACGTATCCCCTGGTTCTTCTATTCCTTCCATAATCATTCCTTTTTCAAAACCTGAAATTGAGGCAAACCCCTTCATAAAAATCACTTCTTTGGCTCATAAAACCCACGTTCTCCAGCAAAAGTTCTTGTAAAGGTCCCCAAGTCATTATAATTTGAAAACTGAACAAATCTTCATCACATAAAAATCTCTCTTTTACATCAACCCTGCAAACCCCTAACTTTGGGTAGTAGTGACAGCTAGATCATTTTTTTTTTTAATGTTTATTTATTTTTGAGAGAAAGGGAGAGACAGAGTGTGAGGAGGGGAGGGACAGAGACAGAGGGAGACACAGAATCTGAAGCAGGCTCCAGGTTCCGAGCTGTCAGCACAGAGCCTGATGTGGAGCTTAAACTCACAAATGGTGAGATCATGACCTGAGCTGAAGTAGGACGCTCAACCAACTGAGCCACCCAGGCACCCCAATAGCTAGATCATTTTTAAGTCTATTTTCCCAAATTACCAGTGTTCTCTATACAGCATCAAATGGTACAATTTATTTCTTAAATATCCACTAAAGTTAATAACAGAGGTTGCAGGGAGAAAAGGAGAGTTACTGCTTAATGGTTATAGACTTTCTGTTTGGGGTAATAAAACATTTTGGAAATAGGGTGATGGTTGTATAACATTGTGAACGTAATTAATGCCACTGAATCACACACTTACAAACGGTCAGAATGGCCAATTTTATGTTATGTCTATTTTACCATAATTTTTCAAATACCCAAAAATGTTAATAATAATATACTTGGCAGAACATTGAACTGATGAACATTGAACATTCGACTTCAAAATTGCAATAGATTTTAGTGGTGGTCATTAAATAAGCACTAATATGCAAAAATACATTGAAAACCAGAAGAGTTTTCTTTTGGTTTCTAATTTCATAGTAGTATGCTTTACTTCTTAGAGAGAAAGGTAATCCTAGTTTATATGGCTTACACCCAGAATCCAAGAGCATAACAAATCGCATACCTGGCTAGATCTCAACTTCTTATTTTCCAGGTGGCTCTTCTCCTGTAACAGGGCCTCCTTCTTACAAACTATGGCCTCTCGTTTTTTTAAATCTTCTTCCAGCTCCTCCAATTCTTGGCGTTGGTTCAGGACTTTTTCTACTTCTTCATCTAACCATTTCTTTTGCTCATCCAATTTCTACATTAAAATTTCAAAGAAACGTCATTACATCATTTGTTTTTCTTTTGCCATAGGATGTATATTGTAATAATGTAATTTCAGATTGGCTAAAATACCTTAAATGAACATTTAAAAACTATTGGTGAGAATAATAAAACAGTGTTCCGGTCTAAAATCATTAGGAAGTGGTTCCAGTTAACATCTTGCTGTGTTTTATAGGGAATTAAGATGTATTCTCCGAACATGTTTGAGTCTGGGATTTTCTAAGTTGACAAAAGGACTGACAATTTTTCCATACATATATTAAGAGGTAATTCTGAGAACAGGCTGGGGGATCTTTTTCTCTGTCGTAGAGGAACATACCTCCATCACAGCACTTACACTGCTTGGTGCTCTACAGTCTGAGTTCCTTGACTGACTGGACAGACTGTCTTTTCTAACTCTAACTACAGACTGAGTTCCTTGACTGACTGGACAGACTGTCTTTTCTAACTCTCTATCCCCAATGCCTGCTATACTTCCTGGCCCATGACCGGCCTTCAATAAAATGTTATATGAATGACTGAATGAATGCCTGATCCAACTAACTAATCAACGAAGTAAGTAAATGAATACACAGTGGAAGACACATATAATAGGGCATGGAAATCCACTCTGCACTGTAGCCTGTCAACATCAATTATAAGATAAAATGAGCTGGAAGGAGTTCCAAAACAAGTATCTTAGTATTCTCTCAAATCGAGGATACCCAGAAAGAAAAAAATATGAATGGAATATGACTAAGATCAGTTCTACCAAGCGCCCATCCACACTGTGGACATGGTAATGAAGCAATGCCATATAAACAACAAATAACAGGGAAACAAATCATTCAGTACTATTTTCCAGTTCTTCTCCAATTGATGAAAATGGTGCTTAGAAATCTATATTTAAAAAATGAGATGGGGTGTCCGGGTGGCTCAGTCCGTTAAGCGTCTAACTCTTGATCTTTGACCCAGGTCATGATCTCACGGTTTGTGAGACTGAGCCCTGTCGGGCTGTGTGCTGACAACACAGAGCCTGCTTGGGGTTCTCTCTCTCCCTCTCTGCCCCTCCCCCACCTGTGCTCTCTCTCAAAATAAATAAACGTTAAAAAAAAACCAAAACAATGAGATAGTGAATATGCATGAGGAAAAGAGAGTGAAGTGGCCAAAGCAAAGTAGATCCAGTGCTATGCAGTCCTCCATCCAGACCTAGATAGCATGGCCCTACAAGCACTATCGCATCCAAATAATATTGAAGTAATATTGAAGCCTATAACAGTAGCTCTACAGTTTATAAGAAACAGGAAGGATATCCCAGAACAACTATAGAGACACTTTTGTTTCGTTATATCCAGCTCTACCTTAGAAACTCCATACAGGAGAACCTATGAAGTCTAGCAATTAGCTAAAACATATTCTATGAACATTCCTTGACTTGGAGTGGGGTTTGAAAAATTAATAACAGATCTTTTGTACGGTCCATTCCAATAGGAGGGAAACCTGAAAAATTATGATTGTTGCTAATAAATGCTGTGTACAGCTAACTCCCAGGTACCATGTCAGCAAAAAGGGAGTGAGGGACTGGAATGGCTCTAAGAAATGTCAGTGCTGGCCTCACAGAGTAAGAAATATTTTGGCAGTGCTTTGAAGAATGGGTAGGAGTGCACATAATACAGGTTTTTTAGGGAAATAATAAATGAGTGGATTTTTCTGCATTTGATATAATAAAGGTTACGATTTATACAATTCACTGTACCTTAGTAAGTTTTCTGAAAATTTATTGATTTGTCTTTTCTCCTTTAATAGCAAAGGTTCGTATCACACAGTTCCTATCACACAATTCAAAAAATACTTCCTTATAAAGGAGCTTCATAACAAATCAATATCCTATTCTAAGCTCTTTGGATACCCATATTGATTACTTTATAATCTTGTTCTTATTTAGGGTCAAATTCTGGAAAGTGAGTTTTCCTTTTGCAGTGTTTAAAAACATGAAGTTTTGTTTTTGTTTTATTAATATTTTTAACCCAATATAGTGCAAGCTGTGGAAATCTTTTTATTGTTGTATTCATTTAAAATTTAGATCCTTAGTGTTTTGAAAAACAGGTCTCACTGCTCTGTGTGTTCCTACCTCTCTTACTCTCCCACATACCCTTTCTGCCCAGAAATGTTATTACCAAGCAGCACAGAATGTCAGAGTGATAGCGCTTAACCAATGTCTAAAACATACTAGGTAAAATAAATAACTCGGAATACATTCACATCCTCAATTTTACTATTAAAATACATAAAATTTAAGAAAGAGCAAATAAATTTTTCAGAAGGTGATGTATTTAGCACTTGAGTGTAATTAGGTTTAATTGCAGTATTTTTAAGATTTTTAGAATTGCCATTTTGAATTTACATAAAAATACAATTTTGTTTCCTTGAACTTTGAGTTAGTTTACAGATATCACTTTTTAAATGTGGCACTAAAACAGGGTACTTGGGTGGCTTAGTTGGTTAAGCATCTGACCCTGCGGTTTTGGCTCAGGTTGTGATCTCACAGTTCATGAATTCGAGCCCCACGTGGAACTCTGTGCTGATAGTGTGGAGTATGCTTGTGATTCCCTATCTCCCTCTCTCTCTCCCCTTTCCCCACTCACTCTTTCTCAAAAATATATAAACATTTAAAAAATAAATGTGGCACTAAAACAATAACTTTTAATACATCATATATGGTACATATATAATTTGGTTATGTTTGAATGGAGGGCTCTGATTTTTAGAAATGTATTGTTTCCATGGGAATAAATACAATCCAGTGAACATGGATTTCATGTTTACATTCTACAACATTCAAATAAATGCATTCTTTTTTTTATGTTTATTTTTGAGGGGGGGAGGGGCAGAGAGAGGGGGAACCACAGTATCCAAAGCAGGCTCCAGGCTCTGAGCTGTCAACACAGAGCCTGATGTGGGGCTCGAACTCACTGACCACGAGATCATGACCTGAGCCAAAGCCTGATGCCCAACCAACTGAGCCACCCAGATGCCCCCAAATAAATGCATTCTACTGAAAAAAGAATACAAGCACATTTCTGGATGAGAGAGTAATTTTTTTAATGTTTATTTTGTTTTTGAGACAGAGATACAAGTGGCAGAGGGGCAGAGAGAGAGGGAGAGAGAGAGAATCCCAAGCTGTACTGACAGCAGTGAGTCTGACGCGGGCTCAAATCACAAACTGTGAGATCATGGCCTGAGCCAAAGTTGGACGCTCAGGTACCCGAGAGTAATTTTTTAATAACAGAAAAGCTTTGGGAGAAAATTTGTAGTCCAGTGGTAAAGTCCAGTGTTTGAAGATTTTATTCAGAGTACACCACTTTTTACCTCTATTTAAACAACCATCAAAGCAAAGAGAAACCAGGAAACACTAAACAGAATCGACAAACCTGGAATTGGTCTATACTTCCAAACGAACCTTTTCTCTTTTTCATCTTAAATGCATCAAGGTCCTCGGTTTCCAGTGTCAGAGAGTCTTCCTGTTCTGTTTTTGACTTTAGTTCCTGTAGAGAACAGAAATTAAAAACACCTTATTGCTTTTACTTCCTGGCCATCATTAAATATTTATGCAGATAATCATTTTCTTCACATTTACTTTCTTCCTTGTAAAAAGAAAGAAAATGCATAGATGAAGGTTGGGGCTACTGGAGAGGAAAATAATGTTAGCCCCTCATTGAAGCAATAAAATCTCACAGCAAATCACGGTTTACTAACATCACTTGGTTTTTTTTCATTGTTTGCCAGTGTTATAAATCAGCACAGCAGGTTAAGAGTCTTAAAATTACAAATGTGCTTTTCTCTTCTGCCTTTCTGAGCTCATGACCTTTTAGTTAGTCTCCCCAAGGCACCCATCTGCCATGGGGATACTAGAAGTTATGACAGTAGAAATATGAAAAGTAATATTCAGTTTCTGTCATTCAGAAATAGGATTTTGTGCATGAGAACAGCCTTTCAAGATAGATTATGGGGGGTGCTTGGCAGGCTGAGTCAGTATAGCATGCAGCTCTTGATCTCGGGGTCACGAGTTCAAGCCCCACGCTGGGTGTAGAGATTGCTTAAATAAATAAACTTAAAAAAAAAAAAAGATATGGGGCTCCTGGGCGACTCAGTCAGTTAAGGTCTGACTCTTGATTTCGGCTTGGGTCGTGATCTCATGGTTTGTGAGACTGAGCCCTGCATCTGGCTGTGCTGACATCACAGAGCCTGCTTGGGACTCTCTCTCTGACTCTCTCTCAGCCCTTCCCCTACTCATGCTCTCTCTCAAAATAAATAAATAAAATTTTTAAGAAAGATAGATCATGGCCCTTTATTTTCCATCCACATTTTAAGAAGCCTCAGGAGTTCTCCTGGGTTTAGAGATGATGCCTCTGTCCACCACTACCTTAGCAGGAATAAGGAAGGAGGCCATGAACCAAAGTGGGCTGGTCTGCATTACTATTGCTTATTGGTCCATGATGGATAAAACTACAGAAATTCCAAGTGTTTAGAAACCTTTATAAAATTGGACAGAATTTTATGTCTGTTGAATATTAATAGTTACAATAAATAATTAAAAGATTGACTCGTATTGTATATTTTAATTTTTTATTTCATTTTCATTTTAATACTAAAATGGGCTTGACAAGCTAATAATAAAATGAAAACTGCACCTTCTCCACAGGTAATTTCAGAAGTACTGATATAAAGGAAGTAAAAGGAAACTCTATCATGTTCTAGCCCTGGGAATGGCAGAAAGAAAGAAAGAGATGGTAAGAAAGATGTGTGTTCCAGTTTTCCTCCCTCCGAATTTTGGCCCAGAAAGGGGGTGAGAAGTAAGGTATATCACGGGGGGCAGAAGGGCAACACGCAGACGGTAGTGCAGAGGACCCACCCACAGGGGGCTGCCCAGCCTCGCTGAAAGAGCAAAGAAGTTCGATCAGGGAAAGAGGGATGAGAGGTGTCTGGGTGGCTCAGCGGTTAGGCATCAGACTCTCGATTTTGGCTCAGGTTATGATTTCACAGTTCGTGAGTTCGAGCCCCACGTCAGGCTCTATACTGACAGTGTGGGACCTGCTTGGGATTCTCTTTCTCCCTCTCTCTCTGCCCCTCCCCTGTTCACGCTCTCTCTCAAAAATAAATAAACATTTATTTAAAAGAAGAAGAAGAAAGAAAAAGAGAAGAAAAAACGGAAAGGGACTTATTATATAGACTCCTTGGCATCAAGTGATGTGGATCCTGAGAACCAATGACCGTTTCCCCACGATGACTGACCCCAAAAGTGAAAAAGAGGACAGTCCACTGGGCTAGCAAGATAGATGGGGACCTAGTAGCCTCAATGGGGATTCATAATGCCAGAGGAGGTGAGATGAAGCCAAAGCACCTCCATGCTCTAAACTGAAAGCGAGACCAGACTACAAGTTTATGCCAACTCGGGGCTTCATCATGGGACCCAGCAAAGAAAAGCAGACAAGAGAGAGCACATTCCAGCCAGTCACACCCAAGGACCAACTGAAATTCAGGTGATCCTTTTCTCTTCAACTCCATATGATGCAATAAAAGCTGTATACCTTACCATCGCATACACTGGACTGAATATTCTTATTCAAGAGAGCTGAGTTACTTACAGGAAATGGTTAAATTACCAGAGTAAGGTTTGAACAGATTGGACATTTAGTTTGTTCCTAGGCTTCCAGCAATTATCGTGATGTGGATTGGGCAGGGTGAGAGGGGTGGTGGTGTCATAAAGAACACAGGTCTGCTGCAGACTAAATAAAAGAAATTTTCTCTGCTCACCGGCACTGTATTACAAGTGAATATGACCCTGTTATATTTACCCATTAATTTTTTCATGCTTCCTAGCCTCTCGTCCGTAGTTACAACTTAGTCCCCGTCATAGTTGCAGCAACGCCAAGATGCTGAAATAAAGGCACCTTATAGTTGCTTGGAGCAGACTCTCTGCCCTTCCTCTTCTTGTGAGTGTACTATAGTAGGTGTCATCCTCTCTACATGTTACTCTAGACGTTCTTGCCATTCTCTTACGATATAATCCCTGTTATAATATTAAAATAACTGTTCACCAGGTATGATGCCAGGCTTTTCATATCTATTTAATTGTCCCATTTAATCCTCACGATAATCTTCTGAGACAGGGACTATTAAAAACTCCATTTGATAGCTGGAGAAAATTGGTGTTTAGAGAGGTAAAAAGCTCAAGATCACACTATGACCCACAGTTTCAAGGGTTCCCACACTTTTTCTTACAGCCTATGCACGGACTTCAGTTAAGAACTGGTACTCCAAGGAGAACCTACACAGACGTCGTGGTATTCTCCGGAAATGGTTTAGTCAAAGGGAGAATGAAGAAATAGGCATGTTGGAAAGTTAGCCCCAAACAGAAGACTGTGAGCAGCTTTTCTGTTTTTGCATGAAGTAGTGGAAACTTTAATATATCTCTGGAATAGACTTTTTCCTTTTTCTGGAATACTCGTTCTCCCTTTACATAGGGTCATTTCCCTAGAATGAGAGATATGGCTAGAAGAAACAAAACTGCCCTAGATGAAAATGTAAAAAGTTTAAGTTACAGGCAGATTTGCATTCCAGAAAACTATGTATGCACTCTGACCAAAAGAGTTTTCTCTTTTCCCAAAATAGAGACTTAGTGCTATGTCTTGTTGGTTTAAACCATGATCTAAGAGAGCTGAGAAGCTGAGACCCAAAGATCATGTGACTGACAGGCAGACCTAATCCTCACATTGGAGGAAGGACCATAAGAAAGAGACTAGGTTGTTGGTAGTAGAAATGAGAATTGAATAGGTTAAAGATATTCAGAAGATATAATCTATATAGGACTTAGTGGTTCCTTCTTAGGAAGAAGACAGAGTCAAGGATGATTGCTAGCTTACCTATTTGAATGGATTGAAATGTTAGGTAAAGCACATGGAAAACTATTTATTTTCCCCTATGAAGGGAGCAGGGAGGGGAATTGTGGTGAGATAAGTAAGAAAGATCATGAATTTAATCTATAAGACAACCTAATGAGGATGTCAATGGTTGGATATAGGAATCCAGAGCTCCAAGTACAAATCTGGGGTTAAGGATTAAATTTGAAAGCTATCAGAGTTAAATTGTAGCCATGGAAAAAGATGAGGTCATCAAAGATAGAAGACAGAAGAGGCATAAGCCTAGAGGTTTGGGGAATTCCCATATATTAAGTACTGATCATGCAGGATGAACTAGCAAAGACAGAGATTAAGCAGTCAGAGGAAAAACACAAGAATATAATTTCACAAAGGCAAAGGGGAAAATATTTCAGGAAGGAAGGAGTGGTGAACTATGCTGGATGCAGCTGAGGTTTTAAGGACTTTAGTGACCAAGAAAGCACTAGTGAATTTCTCAAAAGCTTTGAAGTAGATGGTAGAGACAGGAACCAGACACCAAACTGGAGAGGATGAGAGAATGAATGGAAGCAGAGGAAACAGAAACAGATGCAGTAAACTTTTCCAACCAGTTCGGTTATAAAGGTGAGAAGACAGAGAAAAGCATAAGGTTAAAGAAGGATAATTTTAAGATGAGAAAAATCTAGGGGCACCTGGGTTAAGCATCTGACTCTTGATTTCGGCTCAAGTCATGATCTCACAGTTTGTGAGATCAAGCTGCACTCTGCACTGACAGCGCAGAGCCTGCTTGGGATTCTCTCTCTGCCCCTCCCCTGCTTACTCTCTCAAAAATAAAAAACTAAATTAAAAAAAAAACAAAACAAAGGGGGCATCTTGGTGGCTTAGTTGGTTAAGTGTCCAACTTCAGCTCAGGTCATGATCTCAATAGTTGGTGAGTTCGAGCCCTGCCTTGGGCTCTTTGCTGTCAGCATGGAGCCTGCTTTGGATCCTCTGTGACCCCCTCTCTCTGCCCCTTCCCCCTCTCTCAAAAATAAACATTAAAACAAACAAACAAACAAACAAACAAACAAAAAAAGATGAAGGGTGCCTGGACGGCTCAGTCAGTTAAGTGACTAACTCTTGATTTCTACTCAGGTCATGATCTCATGGTTCATGAGTTCAAACCCTGCATCGGGCTCCATGCTGACATTGTGGAGCTTTGCTTGGGATTCTCTCTCTCTGTCTCTCTCTCCCTCTTTGCCCATTCCCCGCTCATGCACACACTTGCACACTCTCCCTCTCTCTCTCAAAAATAAATAAATAAACCTAAAAAAAAAAAAAAAAGAGAAAAAAAACAGATGACTCAGATCAATGGAACAGAATAGAGAACCCAGAAATGGACCCCAAAACGTATGGCCAACTAATCTTTGACAAAGCAGGAAAGAATATCCAATGGAATAAAGACAGTCTCTTCAGCAAGTGGTGCTGGGAAAACTGGACAGGGACATGCAACATAATGAACTTGGACCACTTTCTTACACCATACACAAAAATAAACTCAAATAGATGAAAGACCTAAATGTAAGACAAGAAGCCATCAAAGTCCTCAAGGAGAAAGCAGGCAAAAACCTCTTTGATCTTGGCTGCAG